AATCGGATCAGCCGCGTCACGATGCACAACAGCTCCATGCGAGCATCGGGCAGAATCGGATCGTCGGAATGTCGAAGTCGAGCTGGACTGAGCCAGCAAGAATCGATATCGGACCGGATCGATCGGGCCGGAATGGACCCTGCGAGGTGCTGGGGGAGGCGGGAGAGGATGAGGACGCCATCTGCCCATCCTCATCGATCCTGCCTCGGCCGACATCCAGGGCCCATGGATCGGCGGACGTGCCCTCCCGTCCCAAACAATGAAGGTGGAGACTTGAGCAGGGACCGACCGTCCCGGCATTCCTATAGGCCTACCACGACATGTTCTTAGAACCCAGATATGTTCTAAGAACAAAAACAGTGTTCTTAGAACATAAACCCTATGTGTAAAACACGACAGTCCCAGCCAGAAATGTTCTAAAATTTCGTGCAGACCACAAAAGGTTCTTAGAACATTGTTTGGTTGGCCTATATAGGCACGCCAGGACGCTTCGCCAATGCTTGAGAGACACCGACAGTGGACCTGGCCGAAGCCGGCCCGGCCAGGAGCCGGTGCCAGAGAAGGGCCCAGACCGCCCGAGGAGGGCGAAGCGAGCGGTGCGCCCGCACCAGGCCCGCCCTGGGCCAGAGAGGTTCTTCTCACCAGCGATGCATGGGACGTAGAGGGACATACTGCACGGTTCCCCTCGGGGCCGTAGGCGACCCGAGGAGGAGGAGGAGGAGGAGAAGGAGGAGGAGGAGGAGGAGGAAGAGGAGGAGGAGGAGGAGGACGGGTCGCCTAAGCCCGTCGGAGAAACCCTCCAGAGCATACTGGTACAGTCGGACCCAGGTCGGACCCAGGCCATAAGAACATCCTTCATCCAAGAACATGAGACCCTCCGCCGGCCAAAACACCCCAAAACCTGAGATCGTTCGAGGGTGCCCTCCCCCAGCATGCACAAAAAAAAATCAACTGACACGAAGCACACCAGGGCACCCTCCCCGAACCGACCTCGATCTCATACCTCGGCCCGATTGTACTCTGCGCCCTCCTTGGAGGCACACGTCCAAACCGAATACATCCGCCACCGTGCCGCGGAGGCACGGGTTGGAGTGCCCTTGGGTCCCTTGCAGTCCTCAGTCCGCAGTCCTCAGCCCTCAGCATTGCATATGATGGGGGCCCAACCCCAAATTCTCATATTTTCTGGGGCTCCTTGCAGGCTTCCCGCGGTTCTCCGGCGCTTCCCGCATAACCTTTTCGGAGCCACGAGCGCCCCAAAACGGGCCAAGAGGGCTCCGAGAGGCCTCTGACCTACAACCCAGGCAAAGTGGGGGGATGGGCCGAAGGCCAGTAGATAGTATGTTAGCCAGCGTGGACCCCAAACAATGACTTCTTGCGATCTATGCAGCGCAGTCTAGGTGGTGCAGTCAACATGGGCAAATTACGTCATACAATCCATGTGGTGCAGTCTCTGTGGTTCAATGCCATACAACGCAATACAAAGCAATGCAAAACTATACAAAGCAATGCAAAGCAATGAAATGCAATTCAAAGAAACGCAATGCACCAGCAACGCAAAGCAGCGCAATGTAGTGCAAGCACAGCAAAGCAAAGCAACGCAAAGAAAACGCAAAGTAATGCGAAACGAGGCAAATAAATGCAAAGCATTGCAAAGTAGCGCGATGAAAAGCAAAACGATGCAAAGCAATGCAAAGCGGTGCAAAGCAATGCAAAGCAATACAAAGCAATTCGAAACCATGCAATGCAATGCAAAGCAAGGAAACGCAATGCGAAATAAAGCAAAGCGATGCAAAGCAATGCAAAGCAATGCAAAGCAATGCAACGCAATGCAAAGCAATGCAAGGCGATGCAAAGCAATGGAAAGCCATGCAAACAATACAAAGCAATTAGAAGAAATGCGGAGCAAGGAATAACAACGCAAAGAAAAGCAAAGTAATGCAAAGCAAGGCAACGCCATGCGAAACAATACAAAGTAATGCAAAGATATGCAAAGCAATTCAAAGCAACGCAAGGCCATGCAAACAAGTTCAACGCGCCAGGCACTGCAAAGAAATTCAAAGCAATGCAAATACAATTCCAAGCAATACAATCAATTGCAAAGCAATGCAGAGCAAAGCAAAGCAATGCGAAGCAATGCAAAGCAATGCAAAGCAGTGTAAAGCTATGCAAGGCAATGCAAAGCAATGCAATGCACAGCAAAGCCATGCAAAGCATTGTATCACAATGCAAAGCGATGCAAATCAATGCAAAGCAACGGAAAGCAATGCAAAGCAATGCAATGCAGTGCAAAGCTATGCAAATCAATGCGAAGCAATGCATTGCAATTCAAAACAACGCGAAGCAATGCAGTGCAAAGCAATGCAAAGCAATGCAAAGCAATGCAAAGCAATGCAGTGCAATTGCAATACAACGCAATGCGATTGCAATGCGATTGAATCCAGCGGCGACGGCGTCGACGGGCGGCGACGAGCCTGCCGGACCGCAAGCGAAGCTCAATGCCCAGCGGCGACGGCTGCAGCGACGGGCGGCGACGGGCAGCAACGAGCCGGCCAGACCGGCACTTGGGGCCGGTTCCCAGCGGCGACGTCGGCGGCGACGGGCGGCAACGAGCTGGCTGGACCAGCACGCAGGCTCAGATACCTTGGAAGACAAGCACGAACCCCTGGGCGCAAGCCCTGTTGGGTAGCGGCCATCTTGTAGTAGATCGATTCCTAGTACAAACATCAAACATAACATGATAATGCTTTGGTGATGCCTAAAAAACATACCCTGAACTCTTGGCGATGCATGTTTTAGACGTTGTGGACACACTGACCTGGGTCAATGCCAACCCAGGTCAACCAGGCCTTGCAAAATCCTGCAAAATCCTGCAAAACCCTGCAATATCCTGCACGCCAACCCGGGTCAATACACCCCTGGTTCCGCAGGATGCTGCAAGATCCGGCGCCCTGGCCGACCCCCACTTGCATTGACCCCCGACTCAAGGCCCCCGATCACACCCGGCGATGTTGCTTTCTTTCGGGCTCCGGGACCCCGCGGGTCTGTCCAGCTCGCAAAACGCTGCAGAGAGATTGTGTCTAGGGCTCGGGTCGCGATTTCCCACGACGTTGCAATTTTCTTGTGGCGTCGGATCTCAAGGCAGCAGTGTCCATGCCTCGCGGCCTGGGCCCCGAGGCGCGATCGGCGATCCCGTGGGTACGCGGCCCCATGGGCATGCTCCGCGCAGGGCCTCCGCGCTGAGCCGCCTGGCGCCCCTGGGGCCGCGCCGAGGGCGGTCAGACCGCGAGGGCGTGGACAGGGACCCTGACCTTCCAGGAAGGCTTAAAAATAGCACCAGGACGTCGACGTCCTGATTCCTGTCGAGGTATGGGGCAGTCCACATAGATCTATAGGTCTGGAGTGCTATTTTTTGGCACTCTGGAAGGTCAGGGGACGCGCTTCCCGTCCGCGGGAAAAGGCGTGTACAGGCGGCAAGCCCCTCGCCGCCCTCGCCCTCGCCCTCGCCCTGGAGAGAGGCAAGGAGGGGCTGGACCTCATTGGGGCGCAAGGTTTTATTGTTCGCGATAACGGCCATTACCCGGGATACTCCCCCCTACTCCCCGTAAGGTTGATACAACCGTGTGCGCGCGCGTGTGAACCACCTCTTTTCGTTCGACGTTTCTGCCGTTATGTGCTCGTTGTTTGGGCTGTTCGCCTTCTTCTAAATACGGTTATTTGTCTTGTGTTGTTGCATTCTACTTTTGTTTTGATATGATATAAAGCCACACCTTCTACAAACCGTGCATGCCGTGGGATATATTCGTATACCTATACGACCACCCTGCGGGTGATAAGGAGGTTGGGGGGGAGGGGGGCCAGCAATGGGCAACAGTGGTGATTGTTGCGTTGCCGATCGCTCTCACTATCGATCTCACGATCGATCTCACTATCGGTCTCACTATCGATCTCACTATCGATATCACAATCGATTTCGTCATCGGTCTCACTATCATTTTCGCACCAGCGGGACACCGGGACATCGGCGGGACACCGGCGGAACACAGGCGGGACACCGCGCGCCACCGCTTGCCGGAGGGAGAATCATTTGGTCCGGCCGGGGTCCAGCCACAAGCGGGACACTGGCGGGACACCGGCGGGACACCGGCGGGACACCGCGCGCCACCGCTTGCCGGAGGGAGAATCATTTAGTCCAGCCCCGCCTCAGCCACAGGAGACTTTCCTATCGCCCGCCCACGCAGCTTCGCCTCGCCCGCACGCACGGCACGCACGAACACGAAACCGAAACCGATTTCCCAGTGGGGGGCTCTCCGTTCCACTTCGATCTCACCCCCCAACCTCCGATATCTATATATATATATATATATATACACACATACATACATACATACATACATACATACATACAGACAGACAGACAGACAGACAGACAGACAGACAGACAGACAGACAGACAGACAGACAGACAGACAGACAGACAGGC